ATTCATGCCGTAAAAATATAATTACCTGGTCCCTTTAAATTGGAGTGTTAATGCTGTTGTCAATATGGAAAATAAATTAATTTATATTCTCGCCAATTTATGGATATACATAATCGAATATGCTATCTTAAATTAAAATAAAATGAACTCCGGCAATACCGGAAATAACCACTAACTTTTTTATTTTAAATAGAATACCGTATATTTTTAAAAAAAATTAGATTCAGCTTGAAATTCTGCAAACAATGATACCTTATTTGCCTATTCTAATTCTAGCAGACTTGAAGTTATTCAATTTTTTCTAAATGTTTAGTCACCGGTAGACATTTTTATCTCAGGTACTATTTCTATCAGATACTTGAAATTTTAGCCAGAGGTAGTAGATAGGATGTAGTACTGTTTAAAAGTATTTACTTGTATATCGTTTGTTGTACTGTACCTATATAGGTATAAAGCACAAAATTTGATCTTTGTGATACATATCTCAAACTAGTGTGCAAGAATAAAAGTTTACTAAAAATTGTGGCACTTTTCTATTTGCTGTTGTCTGCACCAATCTATACAGTTAAATTGAAAATTTATTGCCGTAAACCTCAATTTCATAGCTTAAACGTTTGCCTAAGAGAAAGGTAATTCTTTGACAATAATAATTTAGTCAAACCTCTACAAATTATATCTATTCTTTAATAAAAAAAAAAAAAAATAAAATAAAAAATAAAAAAAACAGAAAGTTATTTGTTACTAATAATAAAAGCTGTACCTATAATATAACATTTATGAATTATATATTATGTAGTTCGTACAGTGTATACGTAATAACTAGCCATGCGATTTTTTTTATTTGAGTTTTATCAGCAATTTGATTTGCTTGTGACTCGTGTATGCTGAATAAAATTATAATTTTGACCCTACGTAAGCATTTTTGCTTTAACTTACTTTAATTATATATACCTACGGTTACTTTCAAATATTATATTATGACTATAAACTTTGCAACGTAGAGGTAGATTATTCTTAAAAAAATCGAGTCCATAAAAATTTAGTAACATTAAAAATGTATTATTTATTTTATTTATTATTACTTTGTTTAAATAGTTCAACCCAATTAAAGAACGGGGGCTTGAATAAGTTCTAATACGCCTTTTTGTGTTGCATTTTTTTGAAGTTATTTTATCATCTGGTGCTCTACTCTAGGTTGTTGCCATTTTCTTCTAATTATGCTTTTTCTGAAATAATTTTTTTTATTTCTTTTGGATAATTATTACTATTATTCCCAGGAGAGTTTTTCCTCGCTGCTTGTTGAATATTTTTGACAAAAAATTCAACTTCTTAGTCTAATTGTTCCTCAATTAGTAGTAAGTGACATAAGACTTTTAGGACCAGCTTTGGGAAATTTAAGATAGCCTCCCATATTACTCATATCGAATGAAAATTGTAATTTTTTTTAATAAATGGACTTCTATATTCTAAAGAAAATGTTTGTCTTTTGATATATTACATTATTTAATTAATCGATTACTAGGCTAACAGAAAGTGTGACTGTCTTTTCCCTGAAGACGAATTTTCGTAGATTCGCGCGGCCTACGTGATACGATTTGTTGACGAAAATAAATTAAAGGCCTGAAGAAAAATTTTCCCAAAATTAAAAATATGCCTCTTCATTAACTGGCCTATTAAAAATCTATTACTAGCTAACAGCTAAAAATACATAAAAGCATTCGGCTATTTTCGTGTCTCATTTTATAGTAAACTTGAGAAGTGCGTTACAGATAATCTAGATGATTGGAAAAACAAAAGATTATAAAAACATATTTATCAAATGATTTTAAAATCAATAAGAAAATAACAATATTTATCGAAAATAGTCTGGCGTCATTCTAGGAAAGTGTAGAAGATACGCAGTTACAGGGAGGTGGCGTTGTATTGCGTATTTTTTAATACAGTGTGACCTAATTTAAAATTCATGTTTATCAACCAATTTTAAAATAGTATATTGGAGTCAATATAAAATCAAATGCACGTCATCGATGACGCGTTTAATTTTATATTAAGTGTAAAGGTTTACACTTAATCCCTACTACTCATATATGGCTACCCTCACTCCAAAAAAAAAAAAAGTTTAATTTTATGCAGCGACAATCACGCGTAGTTGCCAAATTACCAAAATAACAGGGGAACAATAGAAAATTTGAAGTTTACCGAAAAAGCTGAATTTATTCAGTTTTTAGTGCTATATTCAGGCGTGACTCGTCCATAGGAGCACAATCGCACGTGTATCCCCAGAGATATGTTGTAAATATGCTTTCAACCAATAAAAACAGAATAATTTATTTTACTTATAAGCAATAAAGTTTATTAAAGTCAATTATTTTGTTTTATTAATTGGAAACTTATTTACAACCTTTTCTGGGGATGCATGTGTTAAAATACAACAAAAAATGTATCCTAGCGTTATTTTGGAGTAATGGCACATCTGTTATATTTCTAATTGATTTATCCTGATAATTTTTTCAGAAATCGAAACACAAGTGTTATTACTTTTTTTACACATTGTATCAATACTACAAAATGATAGGAATAAGAAGAAATTGTTGCGTTTCCATAAATATTACCCTAAAAATATTAGTCAAACCGTTTTTAATATACCATGAAATCAAATTCGTGCTTTTAGAAAAACCCTTGTATCTAGGCTTTTCTTTATTAAAGATATTACTGGATGATCAATTTCAGAAACGATTTGCCTTGTAATACTGACGATTTGTTTTTAAGATTGGTTATAATTTCATAGTTTTTTCAAAGAAGTCTAAATTAGTCTAATACTAATAACCCTTATTATTTAAAAAAAATAATCTAAATTTTCCTTATGATTTTGTGTCACTAAGTAAAATACATTTTCTCAAAATTTATTGCAGGTAGGTAGAATATTACCCTCCCCGTATATGCGCCCCTCTCACTGTTTTCCATTTTTCAAAGTGCTATATTTTCATAATTGTTACAAAGGGTGGTAGTTTCATAAACGCTTAAAATAAATACTGCATGATATTTTCTTTATTTAATAAAGTGGTATTTACTCTTTATTAGATCAAATTTTATGTGTACATCTTCAAAAATAACAGTTGAAGTAACATGTAAATGATAGTAAAAGCGAATAAAATCATCACTAATATAATTACACTGCAAAGTATGGATTTTCGAAAAGTGGAAATAATGGTCTTTTAGATTGAGAAACATATACAAATTACTCTATTTGAAACAACATAGTTGTCCTATCCCCGAAAATATGGATCATATTCGGTTGGACTCCTAATCCTAAGCCAAAAAAAGGTAAAAACTGCATTTCATTATCTTAACTAGTTCAAAAGTTACATAGGTTAAAAAAATATTAAAATATAATAGAATACACGATATTTCAAGAATTTTTAGAAATTTTTATTCGTAAAAAAAAACAAAAATATTCTAATATAATTAAAGTACCAATAGAATGTTTCATTAATAATTTAGGTACAAATTAAACACCTTGTATAACAAGAAAAAACAACGAGTATATATAAATATGAATAAAAGGTATAGTAATAAAACCATAACAAGAAAACCAAATTATTAAAAACTTACTAAAAACTTACTAAAAACTTACTAAAAACTTACTAAAAACTTACTAAATACTTACTAAAAACTTACTAAAAACTTACTTAAAACTTACTAAAAACTTACTTATTAAAAACTTACTTACTAAAAACTTCTTAAAACCTTACTAAAAACTTACTAAATACTTACTAAAAGTTTACTAAAAACTTACTAAAAACTTACTTACTAAAAACTTACTTACTAAAAACTTACTAACTAAAAACTTACTAAAACCTTACTGGAAACGTAAAAACTTACTTACTAAAAACGTATTTAAAACTTACTAAAAAGTTACTGATAACTTATTTACTAAAAACTTACTTATTTACTAAAAACTTACTTATTTACTAAAAACTTACTAAAACTTAAACTTACTAAACACTTAATTACTTAAAACTTACTAAAAACTTACTAAAAACTTACTAAAAACTTACTAAAAACTTACTAAAAACTTACTAAAAACTTACTAAAAACTTACTAAAAACTTACTAAAAACTTACTAAAAACTTACTAAAAACTTACTAAAAACTTACTAAAAATTTACTAAAAATTTACTAAAAACTTACTAAAAACTTACTAAAAACTTACTAAAAACTTACTAAACACTTACTTATAACTTACTAATAACTAAATTACCTAAAACTTACTAAAAACTTACTTAGTAAAAATTTACCTACTAAAAATTTACTTACTAAACACTTACTAAAACCTTACTTAAAACTTACTAAAACTTTTCATAAAACTTACTAAAAACTTACTGATAACTTACTAAAAACTTACTTACTAAAAACTTACTTACTAAAAACTTACTTACTAAAAACTTACTTACTAAAAACTTACTTACTAAAAACTTACTTACTAAAAACTTACGTACTAAAAACTTACTATAAACTTACTAAAAACTTAAAACTAACTAAAAATTTCCTTACTCACTAAAATCTTACATACTAAAAACTTCCGATTACAAATTAATATTTGTAAGGTTATAATAAATTTTCCATAGACTTTCAAAATAAATATTAGTTGCAAACCGAAAATAAACTTTCAGCAAACGTTTGTAAATGTTTAATGGGATAAATTTCGTATTCTATTTGCTAACAGTTCATCCAAATTTTAGTTCATTATTTTTTTGTTTTATTCGCAAGTTAGATTACTTTTTGTACACACTGTATATGGTATCGCAAAATGACAAGAATAATATTTAGCTGCTTTCCGTTATTTTTTACATTAGCAACAATATAGAATCGCCCTATATATTCCCAAACAGTAACTAGAGAAAGAGTGCGTTTCCATACATAATACCCTAAATATATTACGTCAAACCGTTTGTTATATACCATGAAATTAAATCGGCGCGTTTCACTTTCAAAAAGTACGTCAGACAAACCGAAACCACCGCATATTCCACTCATACAGGCTGTCAAAGGCGCATGAGCCGCTCAAATAAAACTTTTCATTCCGATACCGCCAGAGAAACTCTCGCTTTGCCAGTCAGTAAGTCAGTATTTTAGTTGACTTGGGCGAGCGCACGTTTCTGTGTGGTACCCAGGCATAACCGCAGTTGCGAGATCTAATTCAGTGACACAGTGACAGTGACAGTTCTTCCCGGGAAATCGTTTCCGCATACTGGGATTTAACATCGACAAAACTGTGTTTTCTAAAGAAATTATAATAATGATAAAAAGTGAAAAGTGCGGGTAATTTAATTCGTAAAATAAATTTGGGTGAAAGTGGACCCACACAAGTGAAAGTTTTGGACCATGGATTCACCTCAAATGTACGACAATCAGCAGCACCAACAAAATAACAATAACGTTATCAATCAGGATGCTAAAAAAACCGTTATAATGAACAATAATAATAACAACAATTTAACAACCCTTAATAACAATAATGGTAGCTCGAAACAGACGCAAGCGCTGCTGAAGCAACACCAGTTGCAGCAATATCAGCAGCATAGTGAATTAAGTGATTTGAACACTCCGGAAATATCTTTAGATTTACAAAATTTAATAGACGATTCCCAGTTTAGTGATGGGTTATTTACCGAAATTCTATCCAGCCAAGGGAAGCACATTCAAAATTTACAATCGCGGCAGGTGATGAACATTCAAAATAACAATTACCCCAGAACCACCCTTGCCTACATGCCCCAACCCGTTCACAGCGGTGCTACGTATTCAACAAATCAAAATTCCAATAGCGATTCAAACAGTTCTATCAACAGTGACGTCCCTAGTATAAAAGAAGAACCTATGGACCCTCAGGATTTCAGAAGACAAACCTGCAATTTATTACCAAATAGTTATATCCCTGGAACCTACCCTCAAAACCCCGGTGCTACCTTCACAACCCTTACCCCTAGCCCAGTGATGCATCACCAGCTAAACATGAACGCTATGAAAAACAAAGCTAACCTCTTAAACCAACACAACATAGCGAGAAAAAATATGAAACCGTGCGATAAAAACAGCGATGAATATCGACGAAGAAGGGAAAGGAACAACATAGCTGTAAGGAAAAGTCGAGAAAAGGCGAAAGTACGCACTAGGGAAACTGAAGAGAAGGTTAAAATTCTTATTAAGGAGAACGAGAGGCTGCAAAAGAGGATAGAATTACTCACCGAAGAGTTGAACGTGTTGAGGAGTTTATTTTCTAATGTTGGTGTGCTGCCAGAACATGTTCATCGAGAGATCAACAAACATTTGGATTCCTTTCAGCTGCAGCATCAACAGCAGCAACACATGTAAGAGCTTTTTTACCGGGTGGGTCATTTAAGAATGCCTTAGATATCAATAGACAGTAAAATATTACAATAGTAACTAAATAATTAATAAAAATTAGGAATTAAGTCTTAAATCATATTTGTTTTGTGATTTATTACTGAATAAATATATATAAATATACCAAATAAATAATAATTGAAAATATTGATCAATATCGAAATAAAGACAAATCCACATTGATTAATCAAAAATTGTTTTTCAACGAAAATTCTTCCAAATTTTTATTATAAATAATATTTTTAAAAAGAATTTTTTTTTCACATTTCCGTTTATTATATTTATATTTAAATAACTAACTTGATTATTATCTCATTTAGTTTTTTTAATATATGACTTTTCCGAAAAACTGCTGCAATAAAGCATTTTTGAACTAAAAAAAATATTCCACTTTGATTCATGAAAATGTTTGGTTTTAAAAAGTTCCATTCATGTAATTAATGTTTATGTTTATAATAAATTGGATATAATGGATAATTAAAATCTGGTTTGGCACACCAGTTATATAATCTCGTTTCTCACAACGTTTTTTCCATCTAAAATCTAAACCATCTTCAGATTACGTATATTTTACTGTTTAGTTAGAGACTTCTTAAATGAACACTATTAGTGACATGCTGTAAAATATTTTTATGTTTGTTTTTTAACCATATCTTTTCCTCTCTACAGGTCTGAAGATAACAGGCAGAGGATGATGGATATAGTGCACGATTATGGACCATAATCGACGATAAAGTAAAGGTTTAATCCATTTAAAAATATACGAATACGAAATTATTTAAATTTTTTATTTGTTTATACAAAATTATTTATTTTGTAAGAAAGGATCCTTTAAAGTTTGATGAAACAACAAACTATTTTTATGCGTTAAAATCATTTTAGTTTCTCTAAATCGCATTTGACTCTGTTTAAATCATTTTTATACAGGGTATAATAAAATTATTTATTTTATAAGATAAATAATATTTAAATTTTGATGAAACAACAAATTTTATTTTCCGTTGAAATCATTTAAGTATCGCGTTTGACTGTTTACTATTATTAACTTACAGGGTGATTCAAAAAATATGTTCATCGCTCGTGGGATGATTTGATTCTGTTTAAATCATATTGTCTACAGGGTATAACAAAATTATTTATTTTGTAATTTAAATTTTGATGGAACAACAATTTTTTTTCCGTTAAATTCATTTCAGTAATCGCGTTTGACTGTTTACTATTATTAGCTTATAGGGTGAATCAAAAAATATGTGCCATCGCTTGTGGGATGATTCTTTACCCAAAAATAAAACAAATTATATCAATATGGGTAGGTTTGCTATAGATGCTTTGTTTGAAAGATACAATTTTACGAAAAACAGTATCTAAAATTATAACAAGTTAATAAAGATGACACTAGCATACTAGATTTTTCTTACGGGTTCATTTTGAGCTTCATATTTAATAGACTTTGATAAAATTACATCTCCTAAACAAAACCGATATCCAAAAAATATTTAACTTTAAAAAGTTACATATTTTTTATTAAAAATTATTAAAACGCACGTTCACATATGTGCTAATAGTAAACCTATTTATATCTTCTTCTACAACTGTGCAAAAAAGGGCCATGTTTGCACATTAACGTCAGTATCAATAATGAAACATTTTTTATTGATATTTTGTTTTTGTGTCATCGGCATCAACTACTAAGGTTATTAGCTTTGTGTTCAGTGTAGGCTTTGTTACTCTTTCCCAAGGCCACTTTAGGAACAGCACTGTTAATAAGAGCCTAAGGATTAATTTTTAATTCGTTAACTCGAACCCAGGTACCCTTAGATCCGAAATTTCAGCTACCCACCTCTTTTTCATTAATTTTTTTTTCTCGTTACTATGCACAAACTATTTTGAAAATCACATACATATTATGGTTTGTTTTTATCATTTTTTCACTTTTTTTTGCAAACTTTTTATTAAATTTTCGGTAGTAGATGCAACAAGGTTGGCCGCATCTGATATTTCTGGTTGGGTACAAAAAAAATAATCTTTTTTATTATCTGATACCTATATTACTTTACTGATGTGTCCAACACATGACTTTTCTATCTAGTTATTATAGGCTTTTTCCGATTATTTTTCTATAGATATTTATTGAAAACGAAAATACTGAAAAATTTAAATTTAGCACTTTTCCTACAATTTTTTCATTAGGACCATTTTAGAAAAATCATGTATAAACAAAAATTATAGAGATCGATATCGCAAACAACTTTTAGTTCAACAATTTTCATAAAAATCAGAATTTTGCACATTTTGTTAAATTTCTCGAATACGGGCCATTTCAGGAAATTTTATAGATAATAATATTATTTGAAGAATTTTCTTCTCCAAACATAAATAACAGATATATTTCATAAAATATAAAAACGGCTTCCCATAAACTACCCTCCCAGATGTTCCGACTTTGTCCAAAATCTAATCATTTCACGTCAAGCCAAAATAAAACTTAAATTTAAAATTTAATGTTTTTTTCTTTATCCGTTTTTGAGTTTTCTTCAAAATTCGAAATTTACACATTTTCTCAAATATCTTGAATACGGTCCATTTTAGAGAAATTATGTATAGGATAAAAATTATAGAGAATTATATTACAAACAACTTTTATTTAAACAATTTTTATAAAAAAAAAGATTTTTTTACATTTTGTCAAATTTCTCGAATACGGACCATTTTAGGAAAATTTTGTATATAACAGAAATTATAGATAATAATATAAGAAGTAACTTTTATTTAAAGAAATTTCTTCTCCAAACGTAAATAACAGATATATTTCATAAAATATAAAAATGGTCACCTATAAAGTACCCCCCAGATGTTCCGACTCTACCCAAAATCTAATTAGTTTATTAAACGCCGGAATAAAGCTTAAGTTTAAAATTTGGTGTTTTTCTGTGTATCGGTTCATGAGTTATGGTGGATACAGACACACACACACTCGAGGTTGAAAAAAATCATGATTCCTATACTTTCCTTATATCTGTATATAGATAGGAAAGTAAAAAACTCAATATTCAAAATTCGCAATATCGAAAACGTCAGTGAAAAAAGTTTGTTTCCATAGTTTTCCCTAAGGTAGAACTTGTTATGTTAATTTAATCAAAGTCGTAGAAAAAATATTATTTTCATCTCTTATGCGAAATTCTTTGGTCATCTCGAATGATTTTTCACTCGGCTACGCCTCGTCCAAAGACTTTCATTATCGTTCACTAAAACATTAAAAAATAAGCTTCTCATAGATACGTTTCAGAAATATAAAAAAAATCCTGCTGACCCATGTTGATATGAAGTAAATCTCTTTATTTTGGGTGAGGAGTCACCCCACGAGTGGTCGCACATATTTTTTGAGACATCTTTTATAAATACACGTCAGTTTTATTAAATGGGACATCATGGATATTTATACATTTTATTCATTTGTCTCTACTTTTTATACTAAACAATTTAGGTGTCGTATGGAGTGTTCAATTAAAAATTTTTGGAAAACCCGGTATATTTTTACATTTATGAATTCCTCTTTAATTCCTCTTTGGGAGCTGTTTTCAACGAGATGTCACACTTAGGGTCTAAAGCGTGTTGTTTTAAAACTAGATACCATTAAAAATGATTGGTTACTCTAAGAAACAAATATAGGTATTCATATCTATTATACATTATTAAGGCAACATTTTAATGCATGGTGATCGATATTTAGACGGATTATAGAAATATTTCCAATTTTTTCTAGTTCTAAAACTATTTAATTTAGACCCTAAGTGTGACGTCTTTTTAAAAATCAGGTTGAAAAGTAGAATGTGAATATGTAATAATATATTGTAAATTCAAATAAAAGAAATAAGATTTTTTTTTAATTACCCTGTATTTGAAATTTAGACTCTTTAAAACCAGCTTGAAAAGTAGTATTTGAAGGAGTAATAATATAGTGTATGTTCAATTAATAAGTTACCCTTATGTTAGTGTAAAAATAAAAATTGTTGTGCTAACATTTTTCGAAAAAACATGTTTCATCAAAATTTAAAGGATTTTGGATCAATTTTTTTGAGGAATTTAAAGCTAAAAGTAACAATCTAAATGAGTATTACATCTAGTCAGTGTTCAATATAGTGTATAATAAAAAATGGCATCTAGAAATTGTTCCAATTTTATTACTATTTAAGGCAACAAAAACTTTTTTTAACAGCTTTTTTTAATTTTTTTTTTCTTGACTGTTCCTGAATATTTTTGACTGGATTGGACTTTTATTGTATAGGTAGGTAATTTTCCCAAAAGCTTTAAGTTTAGTTAACTTGAATCTTAAAGATTCTTAATATAGTTAATTTTGCTAGATCTCTTGCATACTGAGGTGTTCTTAAAAAATAAAAAAATACAAATCACGAATACGCAGAACATATTTTTTTTATATTTTAACTAATTTTAATCGTTGAATTTTATTTTTTATATTTTTTTATACTTTACAAATTTTAATTAAATTAAATCAAAAATAAAAAAAATGTTAAGAATTAATCAATTCTGATTTGAACCATGACTTAGGCATAGACAAATTTTAAAATAAAAATGATTTGGAAAAAAAAAATTAAATTTTAAGAGTCTATTTTCCACCTGACGTAAAAAGGAAATCAGCACTATCTACAGGGTGTTTTCTAATATGCAGAACAAACTTTTTTATGTGAAAAAATACATATTGATTGTGAAATCATAAAATTTTGAAAAATAGTGATAAAATTTTCAAAAATTTTTTTTCTTCGAAATTTTAGAAATTTAGTCGTTTTCTCACTAGAAATTACATATAAATGTTTTAAAAATTACTAACAAAATTACCATTTTTAAAATGTCTGTAGAAAGTGGACTCTTAAATATGACAACTCTTCTGCGTATTCGTCGTTTAAAATTATTGTTTTTTTTTTGGAAATATTTTGCAAAAATCCGATTCGAAGCAACAAAAAATGATCTGATACATCGAAATCGAAGCCAGGCACTTTTGCAAAATATTTCAAATGCTTGTGACGGGTATTAAAATACATTAGAATTACTGCGCATGTCCGAATTTACGTTCCGTCAACGGTAAAATTTTATTTTTCGATAGGTGTTAAATCGGGAAAACTCGCGACCCGTTTGAACAAAATTGGGTATGAGTACGGGGATTTTGGAATTTTTTTTTATATCTAACTGTCATTGTATCAAATTTTGTTCGTTCCTGATTAAACTGGGTTGCGAGTTTTTTTGATTTTGATAATTTTTCGAAAATTTTGCTTTGGTGGTAACGAAATGTGGACGAATGTCTAATTCCGTTCATTATGTGATCAATTAAAAATTGTATTTAAAATACAAATTATATATAGATAGATATTTTAATTATTTGCGATTGCGATGATGTTTGTACCTTTTTTTGAATAGTTTTTTTTTTTATTTAAGGGGTATATTTTTTATATGAAAAAATATATCGTTGTTGTATCTTGTAATAATTTTATTTGTAATATATATACATATAGTTTACGTAAGGTAATTTCTTGTAAATTTATTGTATAAATAGTGTACTTACTTAATTTAATATATTTCCAAAGAATATTTTTTTTTTGTATAGATGTTCTATCATGTAAATTTTATACTACTTAAAAAAAACGGTCTTGTTATATATTTAATAAATACATCGAAAATTATGTCAACTTGTTTATTTTTTTTAACAAAATATTAATAGGTACTACACATGCACAAAAAAATACGAAAACTGGAGAAAAATAGACAAAAAAAATCGAAATTGTTAGACTTTGACACATGCATTGCATACCAGGGTCGGCACTAGAAGTTTCGCCGCCCCGGCAAAAAGGTAAAATCCTGCCCCTTTAAACAAAAATTAAAAGCGATAACCTAAATCCTTCCCATGCTTAGTAGTAAAATAAAACGTGAACAAAAATTGATATTTAAAATTGAATATATATCAAAAACTATTCAAAGGATTTATAAAAAAATCGGCTGTAATAAAAGCAATTAGGAGCACTTAAAAACACCCCTAGGCCCATATTCCCTATCTAAACATGAGTGTAAAAATTACCCATCATAGAAGGTATATCCTACTGCATGAAACACTAAAATGGCCAAAAAGTTGACGGATTTGAGCGTTTTTTCAACACGATTTTATATTCAAGAATCTGTTCATACAAAATCATATACCACATAAAATTTTATGTGCAGATTTTTAAAAAGCAATAATTGATCGTGTAAATCATGTACTTTTTAAAAAAATCTTATGTGTCCAACACATGACTTTCCTATCTAG